AAGTCCCAACAGCTAAGTGTAAAATGGCAAGCACACATAGTGTCTACATGACAGGGAAGCTGGATGACCAAAGGTGTAACTTTGTCATAGATTCTCCATCTCAGCAAACCTTGTGAGTATCAAGGTGCTGGACCACAAAGGATCACTTACTTACCGTCAATACCGCGCTTCACTCAATTGTCTGTCTTTATTTCTGCCTGTCTGCAATTCAATTTCAATTAATTTGTCTCATATACGGCGCACTTATATGCAGGAATAGAGAGCGCCTAGCACATACTGGATTATTCGTGATGTTCCACGATCTGTCTAGAATATCATGACGTATTACCAGCGTCACGTGACTACCACTGTCGTAACAATATATAACTGAAGTATTCAATGTTTTGCTATATGAAACCATAGAAAGCATTTTCAGTTTTGAATCATGCTGACTGTTTATTTGACTCATATTATGGGAGATAAGTAGTGCCACGAGTCTCAAGATTGTATTGAGATTGCTTAGATTTTTTCTCAGTCGTCCCTTGTTTGATTTTAACTTGTTCTATTGATGTTTTTTTTTTCAGATAATACATTTTAGTATATAACAGCGTTTCTATCTTAATGTTTTTTTTTCATTCATAAATTATGAAGAGAGTAAACGTAAATCATAATAGAGACACCTGCTATTTTTTAAATGCGCGTATCGTTTAATTGCTGATGTTTTATTTCGATTTTTATCATTCTATTTTGTTAAAACTAGTAACAAAAAGCTTAGAGGACGCTTTCCGTGATATCTGTCTGTGTTTTAATTAATAATCTGGGCCTATTTATATTTTAACTTGTGTGGAATTTACTCAGCAAAAAACAGAGGACTCATCATACGTTGTTGGAAGGTATAAATGAGAATGGAATTTTATCGTATAATTTATCTATTAAGTTTAAAATTTAGTCTAAATTACATAACTTTTCGAAGTAATAGCACAACTTCATACATTTAACTTAGGCTTACTTAGCGCTAGCAATTCGTTAAGAAAATAGGAATATTATTCAAAGCAGATCAGTCAAAAGACCTAAGAGCGGCGTAGGCGTTATGAACACAAAAAGTAAACTTACCAACATAACAGGCCTACGAGTCTATGACATATTAGGCCTACTTCCGTTTATTTCGAAATCAATATTTTCTTACTGGCTATATTTGGAAGAACGAATGATGGGTTGTATCATATCATTAAAATGTTGATTTTTCGTTTAGGATTTTACTCAGTTCCAAAAATGAAGAAAAATTCATTTCATTCTGTGAAAATAAAATATTATACGCAGTAAACTATTTTTAAAGATGTATCAATACCCGTGATAGACAAGTTGTAAAATGTAAATCTTTGACTAACATTATCAATAAATACAAGAAATATTAAGTAAAAATGTTTAATATTTCTTATGGCCTTAAAGAATATGAAGATATGAAAGAAATAGTGAGAAATATAGGTGTCTAACCAAGCAGGAAGAATAGGAATGTGGCTTCTTTGAATACATGTTTAGCAACATCAACAAAAATGATTGCCTCGTTTGCTCGCCAGTTCTTCCTTATCCCCACCCCCTTAGAATAAGAAGGGTTACAATGGTGTATAGCGTTGCGATGATTCAATTTCAAAAGCCGTTATATAAGTTTAATTTCGGTAGCAGCAGCTATGTAATATTCATTTACTCTTTTTCTAGTGAACTAAAATATATGAAACTGAGCTGTTGAACACATGGCTTCATCAAGTACCTTACCTTACAGTCTTCTTATAATGGGTGAAGAACCGTATCTATCTACGTGTGTATGTATTTAGAGGCATGGTAGTAACTCCAACCGAGTTAAAAGGTGGAATTCCATTGGTATTATTCCAGCCTACTTAAAGTATTTGACATATTTTGAGTATTGCCACATCTGTTTCAAATACTGGAACACTAGTGTTTATGTTCATGAACCTATGAATATCCTGGCCCACAACGTTTGGTTTGAGATATTTACTTGACTACCATGTAACTGAACTCCTCAGTGTATAATTACAGCTACTTCTCATATGCACCTGAGTCTTCCATCATTGTCAGGTTATGGAAATAGAGTTTGGTTCCAATGGAGGGAGAGCTGTAAGTACAGGATCCTACACAAACTACTGAATTAGGTCAGCAAGCACTATCTTTCATGTTATGACCATGAGATTACATTAGCAAAAATATGTTGTCTTCATATGGCTTTATTTTTTACATAAATAAAGTACAACTTGAAGGTACTACCAAACAATACACACGTATTACTTTCTGCCTCAGACTATATACCCAGTCTACACTAACTTGTATAGTAATTACAACTAACACCTGAATAGAAATGTTAAGAAATACTCAGTAAAAACTGAATGCATACAATATATTTTAATTTGCCTAATTGCACCATGTCATTTAACGGTGAAATAAAACGTTGAGTGCATGAACATTTTTTTTTTTGGTATGACGGTTAAACTGTCTTCATTGCTATAATTTAATATAGCTTATTTTAGCCATTCATAGTATTTCATATCAATGTAACTAAAATATTTTTCACTAACATTGTCAAACACCATGTAAAACTGCTCTACTTTCCTTTACGTGTAATGTGAGCTATTCCATTACTTTTCACCATCTGACAAATATTTAAGTGTTAAAACTGAAAGCAGTGCTTCACCAGCATCAAAGAAGATAACAGTTACATAATATCTTTCAACGATGCTCCAAGTCTGTATTTACAGTTTTAATGATGCTCCAAATCAGTATTTACAGTTTCAACGATGCTCCAGGTCAGTATTTACAGGTTCAACGATGCTCCAAGTCAGTATTTACAGTTTCAATGATGCCCCAAGTCAGTATTTACAGTTTCAACGATGTTCCAGGTCAGTATTTACAGTTTCAATTCACATTTTGCACTTTTAACATTGGGATAAATTTCATTATTTTGTTCGTTTGTTGCCAGACAGTTGTGTTCTCTCAGTGATTTATCTATGTATGTAATACAACATTAATGAATGCTCCTATGTAACATCTCTATTTGTGTGAAAACTATACACACTCGTGTAACCATATACTATAATCCAATGATGCATGCATATCATTTATAATCATATATACTTATAACGTTTGGCATACAACCTTAAAACTCCTAGTGCTAATCTCCAGTCAAACAAACTGTCGATACTTTAGATATAACATTTACTAATATCAGCTTCATGATATCAGAAACATTGGCAGCAAGATACAAGTCGCGAAAATAACAAGTAGGGTTACAATAGTTACCATGAATAAGTCCTCAACAGCTTGGAAGGTAAGAAATGCTACTTACTTTTAACAGTTATTTTATTGATTAACCCACCTTCCTAACTACTGGTCTGGCACTTAATCCAAACTGTATCAATGAGAAAGTTGTGGGCATTTTAGCCAATCATTAGAGCTATCATTCAGCTCCTCCATTGACGTTTCCTCATCTGACTCTTATAAGACAGCAAGGTAAGGGCTTCTAGTATCTTCCTTCTTCTCAGATAGCCAGATAAGAGCTTTCAGCATCTCCATCCTCATCAACTGAGTTGAAGATGATATATATACTAGTACTAGACTATAAGTTGACTTATTAATCTCAACCTTTGATTCCTTGTATAACAATTCCACGAGAGGTTCATCAATGGTGATGGCTTTAATATTTAACCAGTCCAGCTAGAGCTAAGTTGCTTCTATACAGGACACTGTAAAAGTCATACCTATTCTCCATGCTCAAACATTTTTCCTTCATTGCTTTATCATTGCACCTCTTTTATCATATGGTAGCGTTTTCTAACTTCTGATGTACAAATTCATGCACAATCAACTCACATGGACCTCAGCTGCTCCACATATTATTATGAACACTTTTAAATCTGCTCTGTATGGTAGATTATATGTCATGGCCACAGGAAGCTGTACAGAATACTCTCCTGCACTCATACAAGTTCTACAATTGTCACAGTTTGCATGCACTTGCATTATATTTCTCAATCTACAAAGACTGTGCTTTATCTTACTCCACAATAAGTAGTGTCCAAGCTAGATGTGTGTCCTTCAGTTGCTCTTTTTGGTGCTCTTCATACACCATTCACGGCATTTATTCAACAATGAAATAATCTACAGTATGGTTTAACATAACTATTGCTAAAATGGTTTTCACTCTTACATGGTATGCAGGATAAGACAATCCACTGGCATTTCTGTGATGCAAGCCTGGATAGTGAGGTACAACAGTCATTCTCTTGCAATTCAATGATTCATCACACAGTCACCCCATTTGCATTTTTGAAGTGAATGAGTCATTTTTGTGATACATGGCCTATACAAATGAACTTTCGGTAGTGCAAGTAGTGTTGAAAGATTTGAAAAATACTAAAATTCCAAGCAGTTCTTCCTTTGTCATGCAGTATCTGCATTCGGTAACTGTTAGCATATGACTGGCATATGCAATTACACATTCTACTTGGTCGTGCACATGTAACAAGCCATTCTACTGTTACTGATATCTATATCCAACAAAGTGGACAAGTTCATCTTGGATTTTCTATTGTCAGAAATTCTAGTAAACCACATTCTAGTGACTGAAATGTATGGTCACAGTCTGCAGTCTACTTGTCTTTAATAAAAGCAACGTTATAGCAATCTTGGAGAAATTTAGACAAATTAGCGTAACAAGATGCAAAACTCATAGAGTGTAGTTCTCTTGTTTCATTATGGATTGTAGCCATTCTTTGACACCAATCCTTCCCACAGTGTCATTTACTTCTTTACACATGGTTTACGTCTGGGAAGAATCATGCTTAGTGTTCTAGCAGCACTTATAAAAATCCAACTAAACATAAGATTTTGTCATCACAGATCAGGCATCTATTCTATAAGCTTTATTATCCACTTTAAAGCAGTACCTGATGATGACAAAACTTTGTCGAAACGTTGTACATTTGCTGTTATGTTAAACTTATATTAAAGTTTTTTTCATTACCCATTCAAGCCGTCTCCAGGCATCAATGTGGGCCACCACTTTCATTAATGTAAAATGAAGATGAACAGAGAACTCTGGCATACTCTCCTTCTTCACTGTATTGAACTCAGTTGCCTTACACAATTATCAATTAATAATCTCAGATATTCTGGCAATCATGCATTTGCTTTTGTACACAATGCCACTGGAGTAACCCTAACTGTACAGCTGGTTCTAACTACATTTACTTTGCATATCCTACTAATGACCTTTTCAATAGGAAGCTAAAGAGCTAAATGTCCATGGTTAAAATTGGGACAGCTCCACCACTTGATTAGATAACTGTTCAAACAAGTGCAGCCTGCTTTCTAGGAAGGAAACGACATATGTAATGCATTGGTTTCATCCATACAGCAGGTGATGCTAATGCAATAGAGATAGTTTGTAGCATACTTTGGAACACCTTTTGTGCATTCCGCGGTACTATGACTTTCTAAATAACATGAAGCCTTGCAGTTCACTGTTCCTGGCTCAATCTCTCTAACACGGGATGATTTTTCCACAGAAAAGCAGTTGATATATTGCATAGGCAAAATGGACAAAAGGTTTCTGTAGTAGATTTATCCAAATATTTTAATACACAAATAAAAACATTACCTAGATGTAAACTGAGATACGCCTATCGATTAACAACTAGCCAATCACCAGTTGCCAAAACAAAGTATCAGCTGGTTGGAATGATGACTTTACTCAGTGTTGCTGAAACATCACAAGTTCAAACAGCATTCTTATGGCTCTGGTATAAACAATAACTTGACTTCACATTTGTGTATCGTTATTAACACATACCATAAACAATCCAGCACCAGCAAGATATTGACAGTTCATTTTATATTGCTGTACCAGCCCACAATCAAGGCACATGCTTTTGTCCACTTTTTCAAAGAGAAGTCTGGGTAGAGATATCGGCAGCATTTAATTTCCGTTATGGGAAACTCTGGGTAGCTTTGTACTCTCACTGATACCCATTATGGCTGAGGGTAGATGTTCCACGATGCGTCTACAGTTGGATAGTTCTCAGTAGAACACAGGCTTTCTATGATGTATTCTTCTAAGGATGATGATCTAACATATAGCTCTCGCTGCATGCTTCTTCTACTAAAACCTGCTTGAAGTTACCAATTCAAACAAAGTCAACACAAGTATTTCCTCTGTTAGAATGTAAGTGCATCTAACACTCAAGAGATACCACATCGTTTTGTTTGAATGTTCTTCCACTAATACATCTACAAGGATATCTTCTTGATCTGCTGACACCAAAGTGGGATACACCTTCACAAGTAAGCAATGAATATCATCACCATAAGCAGCAACATTAGAGATCATGTGTAGTATGCAAACGCTATATATCTTGAAAAAAAAGTAAAATTAATCTATATTCACAGCAAACAATCCAAAATAGATGAGTACTGGATAACAGAGATTTGAATTCTCTATATATCTCAAAGAGATTTGCTTAAGATAATATTCTAGACTGAGAGAGTATGAAATTAGATATACAAAAACAATTTTGTTGGTGGTGTGGTTCTTAGAGCATAGGTGCTATCCACATCAATGGTTGTCCTAAATATAATTAGGAAGAGTTTAACATCGAATGTGAGAACCTATAAGCCTTGTAACTATACTATGTCTGGTTGGGTGCACCCAAAAAGTATGAAACATGCGCTAGTTTAGTATTCATGTTTCCACGAATACTTCACAGTTGAAATTTATTATGATTTTTAACCTGGTTTTAGTGTACACCTGGTTATAGTGTTTGACTCACAATATGCTGGTCGCGGGTTCGAATCCCGTCACTGAGTATGCTAGCCCTCTCTAGGAGCATTATAATGTAATGATCAATCCTACTTTTCATCGGTAAAAAAGTAGCCTAAGAATTGGTGACCAGACTTCCTATTTTTTGGTAGGTTGTCCCAATCTCATGACAAAAGTTCTCGGGACGTTTTGTGCGATAAAGACATCAAACTGTGAATCACGAATGTACTGAACCTACTTCAGTTGTTCATTGTTGTAACACGTAATCTCCTGCCACCAAACCCTAACGAAAGTTCCGCCGTCTGTGCGTGGTGAGAAACCCAGGGAGACAGTTAAGGCAGTGCTCATCGTGAAATCACAATTTACACGATCATATACTGGATTTGATGACCAAATGTAAAAACAAACAAACAGAATTTCAACGTTCCCTTCATTCTTCACAAAAATAAGTTTACGTATGAAGTAGCTTACTTGAAGATGAATGGGATAAAGAGAATAAAGATTTCGTGGAAGTATAATTTGACTATTTTTGCTCATTTGTTTTGTGTCCAAAAAAGTAGAGGAAATTATTTTAAAAACAAAGCCAATATTTGGAATATTGTAGAACAGTTAAATAAATCTAAAATAAATTAAATAAAAGTTAAATTATTTCAAATTTGTAATAGCCATTTTGAAGTAAGGGGCAAGGGCGGACTGTCCCCGTTTGAAAATCTGATCATCCTAATGGTGGGTGACGTTTAATATCTGCCTTCCCAGTTTAGCCTATCACTTATAAATTAGGGATGGCTAGCAAAGATAGCTTTGTTTTCTGAATATAGACATTAGTTTTTCCGTTTGTTTATGTTTTTTGATTATGGCACTCATGAAGGAAATTCGAAATAGTTTTAATTTGAACCATGTAACCTCAATACAAATTTAGTTTTTCGATTTTTAGTCCATCACAGTTCCTCAACCTCGAGACTCGTGGGGTGATGTAATTGGACATATCTCGACTTTGAAAGGTCATGGACTATTAATCATTTTTTCCCAACTATATAAAGAGGAAGCAATAAGGGATACTCCCAACGAAACGTCTTGACTTTAAAGCTTCCGAAATACTACACCACATTAGCTCACAATATATAGAGTGAAGCCCCCTAAACTTTTGTCTAGCCCTCTAAGTGCGGATTCGAACCCCCGTCCCACCAAACATGCTCGCCCTTTCAGCAGTGGGGGCGTAATAAAGTCAATCCCACTATTCGTTGGTGAAAGAATAGCTGAAGAGTTGGTGGTGGGTGGTGATGACTAGCCGCCTTCCCTCTAGTCTTTCACAGCTAAATTAGGGACAGCTAGTGCAGATAGCCCTCTTGTAGCAAAATTCAATACAAACCAAACCTTCTAAGTGATAAGACGCTGGCGCCGACTCGAACTGAAACAATAAGACTGCGTGATGTATTTTTCGCATCGAAACAAATACAAATGACATTCAGTTTTATAAAATAACAATTGTAAACCCTTACAAGTTTATAGCA